TCATGATGAAGCACGGTGGTGGCAGCGTCATGATGAGAAGCGAGCAGAGGAATCTTGTTCTTACAACATCACTGATGTAGCGTTTTAATATTTGCAGCTCTTTCCTACAGTTTCCTCTTTGACTCAATAATCTGTTGCTGCCACTTAAGTTGCAAAAATTCAGAAAACAACCAGAAGTGTTGCTGCTTCTAACCTCTAACTTTTTATTTTATTTTTTTACAAACTCTAAAATAGTATTTAAAGTTTAAAGTAATTCAAACGTTTTCCAAGCTGCACTGATTAAACTGTTTCACATATTTGTATGAGACTTCATTCAGGACAGAAACATGGTTGGTCACATATTTAAATTGGCTCACTGATAAATAAAGCTGTTCAATAGTCGTTGTACTTGACATAAATGGAAAGTACTGAAAGTACAAGTACCTCCTGTTTTCTCTGCTTCTATTTGTTTTATTCTTGAACATGTACTCCTTCTGTCCCTGGCTTTGAGGCAGGCTGTGTCCTTTCCTTTAAACATTTAGAGCTCTTTGTTTGCTCTGCTTGTCCCACACCCCTCCACTTGTTCTTCCTCTTTCCCCGTCCATCCATCTCTTTTTCTTTCATGTGCTGTCATCTAATCAACAGGATTTATTGTTTAATCACAGTAATCATTAAACCAGCCGACACACTCGCTCACCTCCACCACAGTGCCAACACGTCCTCAGCTTTATGGACTTCATGAACCTCGCTGAAGTGCTTCAGGTCAACCTCAAAGTGTCCCACTTGAGGCTGAATGTGACCCTGATGCTGTTGTTCTGGTTCTGTCTGAGGACCTGTGTGACTACCAACCCTCACAGCTGCTGTTGTTCCTTTAAACATGTTTTTATGGTTCAATCAGTTCTAAATGAGAAACTGGGAGAACAAACTCAAAAAAAGAGACTAAACCTCAAACTAATGACTTCATCTGAGCTGCTGTGCAAATACTTTTGTCCTCCAGGTCAAGTGAGTTAGCTCCCTCCACTGCAGCGCCGCCCTCAGGACAAGCTCGGTACTCGCATTGTCTGTGTTTGTCATGTTCCTCCAACAGGAGCCAGCTGACTCGAGACCCACAGGAGGGGTCATCAGACAGCAACAGAGGAACTGAACCAGGTTCAGGTTTCTGTGGAAACCGCCCTTAAAGCTTTGGACAGAAAGTAGTCGTCTAGCTGGACCCGACCTGTAAAACTCCAAGTACTTGGACATAAAACAGTGTCTAGGAGGAACAGAATGTTAAACGTAAATGTATTTGAACAGAAAGTCATATTTAGGTGCAGCTAACCTTCAAAAACGACTTACGACGTCACAAAGTAGTATTATGGGGGCCTGAACCTTTAAAACGACAAGTATTTGGACAGACAGTCGCATTTAGGGCGGAATAAACCTTTAAAGCAAGTTGAACCTTTCTGCCAGCCACTCAGTTTCAAAGCTGGAGGCGGGGCTTCACTTGGTGGGCGGAGCTTAGCAGCTACAGGTGTTAGTGGGAGGAGCAGCCGATACCTGAGCCTGCTGCAGCTTCGACCCGTCGTCGCTCGGCCGACAGTAGCGCCTGGTGGCTTCTTCATCCATCATCTGAAACGAAAGAGCCCAAGACACCCGAGTACTGACACGGAGTAAAAGTACTGCAGTACGGGTAAAAGTACTGACACCGCATGGAGTCAAAGTACTGCAGTACGGGTAAAAGTACTGACACAGCACAGAGTAAAAGTACTGCAGTACGGGTAAAAGTACTGACAC